TTACGAAAATTGCAAAATGGTACAGGACTTTTCCGTTCATCTCGATCTGTTCTACCTTCTCAAAAATTTTGTCGGATATGGAAAGACTCACCCTGTATATTTTTCTGTGTGCACGCGATGGCCGTTCGACTTTTCCGAGAGAGCAGAACTTGCGCGTGTGTTTCTCTCGCGAGCGGATCTACTGGTCGACTTGTAGGGAGCGGAAGGTCAGGGATGAAACTAAGGTGGGTGATGGTGTCCAGAAGAGTCGCGAAGCGAAGAGTGCGCGGAAGCTGCTGATCATCTCGGCCGAAGAGGTGCCTCGCCGCGGCGCGGCGGCGGCGACGTCGGCTTCTCCGGCTCTCCCCGGCCCGATTGTGCGTGCCGGCGCGGCGGCCGGCCGCGCTCCGTTCGCCTTTGCGGTGGCTGCCGACTCCAGTCCCTCTCAGTCGCGGCGGTGGCATCCTGCTCGCAACACACGCCACGGCCGGGTTCGAAAAGTCGCTGCCCGGCACCGCCGCCGTCGATTGCCACCGCGCCGGTTTTTAATCGGATCGCATTTCCGGCGTGGGCGAGGGGTGCTCTTTAGCCGCCGCATCTCGGTAAGCCTCTCTGCAGCCCAGGATTGCTCGATCGCGGCGCGTTTGCGAGCCACAGTGAAGGCCGACGTGATAATCTGATAATTACGGGAGAGCCGGCGATTGCTTTCCCTCTCAAAGCAGGAGGGACGTCCCTTTGTTGCTCCCTACGTCAAACTACTGGTCATTTCCGTCGCGTATCGATACGACGAGTGGTTTGCCTTGAAACGATGTGGGCGAGAGAAAATCGATCGGAACAAGTGCTGCTCCGTTATTTTGCCAAGCGCTAAAATCGGAAATCATCCGAGGCAAGTGCTGCGAGAAAGTAAAGCTGTATTTCTTTCTTGCGTAAGACAGCGCCTTCTTTTTTAATTTCTTCACTCGGGAAGCGGCCGGCACCGCACTTTCGCACTTGACGAGTTTGCTTAAAATAATCGTGATCGATAAGTCGGCATCGAATTAATGATCAGCAATGAGCTGCCTGTGTCCCGTCTGGCGAAGGGGACTCTCGAAACTTACGCTCGCAGCGTCTCGCCTTTAAGTGCGGATTTAATTGTGCGGTTTGTGGAAGTTTATGGTCGCCGGGAGGGCATAATACCCGGCATTTTTTCGTCGTGAAAGACGAGAGGTGCGCCACGTGTGCGGGCGGAAACGGCGTGGGTGGCATTGACGAAAGAACGGCCGGTCGAGCTCTGAAAAGTAAGTCTCTCTCTTCTTAGGGAAGGTTTATTTTTCTCTCTTGGCCGCACATTTCGCGGAAATGCGGAAGCGATGACTGATAATGGTTGAGAGATACGACGCGAGACCGTCTTCTGAGACCTTCTTTCTCCCCTTTGCTGAAAGAAATCGTCGTTTCTTCCGCAGAACGTCGCGTGTCGTTTTGAGTCACTGCAGATTTGCCGGTCTGTGTCGGAAAACAGATTTTATTTGCTTCGCTACACAGTAAAAGATCGTGTGTTTAAATGTTAAAATTTTCTTGTGTTACCAAGATTTCATTCTTACTTCAACGTAAAATTAACATAAAAACGTGTACTTAAATTATTTTCGTAGCACTTTTATGTGTTATATTTATGTTAACATAATAACTTGACGCTTTATGTATGTTATTTAAAAATTGAATATTATTTTTAGTTCTTTTAACACAACTATTTCACAAAATCAACCGAAACGTGTAGTATCGACATTTGTTAAAAATTGTTTCAACTATTCTGATTTGTAACTGTTCATACAGTTTACTTATCCTGTCTATTTTATTACATCACACTTAAGGTGGAAAGAACGCAAACATAAATGTAAAGTAAGTTGATTAATTAACATTTATAATTTGTGAAAAAGTAACAGACGCGATAAATGTTATTTTAACTTAAAATCTAGAGCGGAATTTTTGGGACATGTAAAAAATGTTAACATTAACATTTTATTTTTTTACTGTGTAATATCAACACATCCCTTTCAATTTTACTGCGTAAAGTAATAAACTATATACTCGCACTCACATCAATTCCGCAGAGACTCGATCGCAAGTGATCGAACTGCTGCAGAATTTGCTTTTCTCCCCGGAAGAAAAGGAAGAAACGTCTCTTTCGCATATTATTTCGAAAGACTTGTCTTTTTCGCAATAAGCAGCCGAGATTTCTGGATTGCCTCGCGATAAGTTGAGTTGAGTGAAGAAATTGAAAAGCTCGTCGCGCATTCTCCACTTGTACATTTTCAAGAGTACGGAATTGCGCGTTTATGTGTAGAAATGTACTCTGGGTTCGAATAATTCTTAGTAACCGAGCTCTCGACGATACAGCGATCTCCCCGCTCATGTTGTCCAATCGCTAGTTTGCTGATGCGGCTCATTCAACCGGCGATTGCGGGCACGTCGATCGCAATGAACCGCAGGGTTAGTGTACCTTCTCACGATAATGATTCTTGTTTCTGGCGTCGGGCATTTTCGCAAATCTCGACGTCCCCTCCCGACGATCGTAACAATAGCGCGAGGGCACGTTCGAGGCTCGATTAAATTGGAAATTCCAAGTTTTCGGAAAAACACCGTTGAGGACAGGATCAACGCATGCTTAGAAGTCAAGGGACAAATTCAATAATTAATCGACGAGAGGTAATCTTCAATGTCGCCAGTGGCAATTAAAAAACTTGAATGATTACTTGGCCATGTCTGGCAAATTTTTATGTTTAAGCTCACAACTTAAGCTGAGCTTAAACTTCAATAATTAAGTTTAATTTTCTTGTATTCGAGTATGTGTTCGTACATTGTAGTTGCGAAGTAATCGAATCCGGATTAGTTAGTTTCGAATTTTTAATCGAATACCTGCAGGATTCGAAATGTGCTTAGGTAGTTTCTATCGTAAAAGAATCGAATCTTTCACAAGTAGCATTCAAACATGTTATGTTATTATAATGTATAAGTTACCATTGTATTAAAAAGATATTTGTGTATACGTACACACACACACACATACATTATGTTTCGTAATAAAATTTCTAATAAAATACTCATAAAAGGTTCGCGGACGATACAGCGGTATACTTTTAAAGTATTGCTTTCATTTTCGAGTAATCATAGAAAGTCCGCGACCCGTTGCTAATCCGTTGGACACGCTTAAAATATTGACTCGGAGAAAACTCAGAGAAACGGAACTCACGTATCGGCACTTTGAGCCCCACCGTGCGCGATAAAATAAGTCTGTGATAAAATTCCGATCAATGACGCCGGCGAAAATCCACTCGTACGGACTTGCACTCGCGTCTACGATCAAATTCGGTAAGAGCCGTCGGTGTTCCCACGAGGGTCTGCCAGACCATGAAATAGGGTCGTCCGACGAACGTCGAAGCGATTCGCCGTGGTCCCGTGTCGCGGGAGAGTCGATGACTCCTCTACGGTCATCTCCAGCTTACCGGTAGATCAACGGTCTCTTTCTCTCTCTCTGTCTCTCTGTCTGTCTGTCTGTCTGTCTTTTGGATCGTTCTCATCGAATCGAGTCACGATCATGGCAATCTGGCCGCGGTCGTCGTCAGTGGTCAGCCAGACGATTCCGCGTATTTCGCTGTCGGTGGAAACAATTAGCGAGAGCGACCCGAGTTGAAATTTTGGTAATGTTTTGACACTTTTAAGGATAATGTACACTTACTTAGCTGATCTGTACACCTACATAGACCAGCAATAACCTACTTTGATGACATTATACTCTTTTACTCATCCCTTGAATCTTTAATCCTAAAAATTTACTCCAGCTCCTACTTAAAAGGACCTACGTTAATGCTAAATTGGTATAAGTAGAAATTTCCGACACTATCAGTTTTTAAGTAGGAATAAATTTTGTACGTGCAGTTCGACCTCCTTTACTGTCTTAGGTCCTACTATATAATAGAATTAAAGGTTCAACATAGGGCCAAAATTTCAACTCGGGTACAGTTACGAGTCGAAATTTTGCCACTATTTTGCCACTTTTAAGGATAATTTACACCTACTTTAATGACATTGTATTTTTTACTCCTCCCTTAAACCTTTAATTCTAAAAATTTACTTTAGCTCCTACTTAAAAGGACCTACTTTAATGCTAAATTGGCAAAAGTAAAAATTTCCGGCACTATCAGTTTTTAAGTAAGAGTAAATTTTGTACTTGCAGCTCGACCTCTTTTACTGTCTTAGGTCCTACTATATAATAGAATTAAAGGTTCAACATAGGACCAAAATTTCGACTCGAGGATACTCTCCCCCCGTCTCGAGAAAGCTTTCTCTCTTCCGCTCACAAACGCTTCTGACGACGACGGCGATTTGGGTCTCGGCGACGCGCACTCGTCATCGCTGATGTAAACCCACGTTTCCGTGACCGACTAATTGTAACGCGCTTCTGGACACCCGGTTATTTTATTAGCGGACGCCTTCGAGCTTTTTTAACGACTTTGTGAGAACACGATCTTTCAGGATGTACATACGTAAGCTAGTTCGTCTGAAGTAGGAACCAATTCTATTTTTTAACATTCTCACTAGTATTCACGAAGACAGTGAAGGGCAATCTAATACTTGTGCGTGACGACAATTTAATGCTCTTCTAATTGTAAGTTTATAAACGTTGCGTGTTACTTTAAAACAATTTCTCGAATAGATTAGTATTAAAATTAGAATACAAATTTGTAACTTTATAAACTTCAATGTTTTCTTGGCCATATCTGGCATGTTTAATAATACAGAAAATTTATTGCGAAAAATATTATCGTCAGCCAAGGTTTGAACCCGGACGGCCTACACTCTAGGCGAGCGTCTCACCAATTCGACCACTGAGGCATGTAAATTGACACCCGCCTAGAGCCAAAACACTGAAGTCGTTAATTACCGCTGGCGACTTGAAGAACATTCTTATTATTTGTAACTTTATGTCTCGAAAAGTTCACCAGCCTATTGTAAATTAAACTAACAAGATCTAATTTGAGATGAAAAATTGACCTTGTTGTCGCTAATGTATTTCGAAACTTTTTCAAATTAAAAACGACCAAATTTAATAAACATAGATCCACGTGACAAGAATTTCCATTGAGCAACACCCCATACAGCACCAAAGCTTTCAGAAACATGTCAGAAACATTGCAACATTGCAAATTACAATGTAATATTGCACAGACGGTTCAGAGACATTCAATTGTAATATTTCGCCAACAACGTTTCAGTAACCTTGTAGAAATATTATAAAGTTTGCAAAATATATTTATAGCGTATTATAATATTATTTACACTTTTCAAATTTATATTATTTCTCATGTATTCCAAACGCAGCCTAATAGCATGTATAGCAACGCCAATAGTCTCGTGATTTCCGATATTACTGCATGGTATCGGTGAAGTACTTCAGATTATAATAGATGAAGTTTGAGAATATACAATATAATAGACATCCAAGGGCGATAAGAAAAAATGTTACAATTTTTTCTTACATATCTCTTGGGTGTCTTTATATTCGCAAATTTTATTTATTAGGCTGTTCGGGAAGTTCGTTTCAAATTTCCTATCTATTCTACCATAAATACATATATAGGAAAGTTAAAACGAACTTTCCGAACAATCTATTAAAATCATAAGTATCTTGCATATTTATATAAATAACGTATAATGAAATCAATTATATTACAAATACATTGCACCGTGCCATTACTGCAATGTTACATTGTAATACGTCTGAGGACGTATTACAACGAGGGAGGGACGAGGGAGGACATTTCAATGTTGCTTCAAGCTTGCAATAACGTTGCTGAAATATTTCGCAAGCTCCATGCAATGTTACCCCACACAGCACAGAAAGATTGCAGGAAGATTGCAGAAATGTTACATTGCAAGATTGCAATATTGCAGCAACGTTGCGCAACATTGCTGCAACGTTTCTGGAAGATTGCAGCAACGTTGAAATGTCCGCCCTCGGAGAGATTGCAGTGCAACATTATAGCAATATTTTTTGAATAATTCGTTGTTGTTGTATGTACATAAGCGGAGAATTTACTAATTACATATGCATCCGGGCCTTTTTCAATACATAGCAAGCTATTGCGAAGCAACCTAAGGAGATTATGTCGCTTCGCAATAGATGGAGATTGCGAGCAACACCGCACTGATCAAGTACTTAATAATTCGCGCATTATTCAACAAAAATAACATTATAAAATTCTCGTAATTGGAAAAATTTTTTTAATAGAAAATATAGTAT